AGAGTCGCTCGCCGTTTCAAGCTCGGTTCTCACAGCTGCGCAGGATACCATAGTCTGCCCTGTACGTTGGGTCTGACTGTCAAATAAATGGTCCTCCGCGTATTGCTGTAACAAATTTCTTAAACCTGCAATTGATTCATTATATCTTTTCATCATATAATTAATTTTTTCTCAATACTTTAATGCTGTTGTATTGCCAGTTCAATTTCTAACAATCTAGTTAAATCATCAGGTGTTTTATCACATTCTCATGTAATAAAAAATATTTTTCCTTGATAGTCTAATTCAAATATATTACTTAGATCTTTTTCTAGTGATTTTGTTAATTCATCGATTAAATTAACAAGCATATTTTCATATTCACCCATAATAAAATAAACTTTTTCTTGGCATTCCAATGCTAATGCATTATTTGATCTTTGCTAATATTTTTATTAGTCATTGCTATTAATTGAATATAAATATGTAAATAAGTTTAAACTTTTAAAGAAACCAAAAATGATTAAACTTTTTAGAAAAATTTACCAGAATATTTAGCCAAAATTCACTCTTAAAGACCAAACATCGATTTAAATCTAACACAAAGATATATAGTAGTATGTCTTTAAAATCACTATGCTGATAGCACATAATTCCTTAAAATATAAAGATTACCCAATTCGCTTTGTAAAGTACAGAGTTAATTTCTGAAGCATTTTGTTTGCCTAGGTTAATTCTATTTTTAATAAAATATATATACCATCTTGTTTCTGAAGTTTGAATAGCATCTATTATTATCATGGTAGCTGCATCCTCATGATTCATTTTCTGTCTTAAAAATATAGTATAAATGATAAAACAATTACTGAGTATGAGCTTATTATTTATATAAACTGCTGAATCATCTATTTCTGTGGTTGCCAAAAATAGTTGATTAATATCAACTAAACTAATAGAAATTTCTTCATTTATAATATAAGACAAGAAATAATAGAAAGTAAACTACCAAGTTCAAATTAGTATTTTAATATCTTAATTTTATTAGTGTTAACCAGCTGACTCTTGTATAATTGTGATAATTATAACTTCATGATAAAACGGATCAGCTGACCAAAAAAAAATTATGAGTGAATATTTTCACAGCAAAGCATTCTTACAATAGTATATAATCACAATTAATTCTTGATTAAAAAAAGGAATTTAGTTATTTTAAATGTTCAATTAGCATTTTTATATACACCTAGTTCATAAAATCAGTATGCTAAATATGGATTAATTGAAATCTACTTCAAAGCATCAATATTGATCAGTATTTTATAATGACCATTTCTATGTTTATTCATTTATATATGTAATAAGTCCATCAAAGAATTCATTAGTGAGATATGAAAAACTAATTTTCTAATCTATATGATTTACTTTTTTTAAAGTAGCTCAGTACTTCAACAAGTTGAAAAAACAATTCTCGATTTTAATATTCTAATATTTCAAGAATGCATAATCTTCTATATTTTTCGTAATTATCATCTTTAAGCATAGACTAAAAATAGTGACAAACTTGAAGATGATTCTTTTTTTCAATGGCTAAACAATTAAAAGCACCTATTCCAAATTTATGATGAATATCAATTAATTCATAGACGTGGCATGTTAATATATACATGTAAGAAGTAGCATCAGCTGCCTTTTTGTTATATATAAATAAATATTAATAAATGTGTAAAACAAAAAATAAATTATTATATGGGTCTTATATAAAAACCCTTGCTTTTTGTTATTGCACAAGATTGTATATCAAACACTATACAATAGCTATATATAATATATTTACCTAATATACGCCATGACTAAAATTAGATCGATTTGGTTGTCTCTTGGATGGTATTAAAAATAACTTTAACTATAATTCAGCTTTAATTCTAAATTGTGATCCTGCTATATTTGGTAATATCATCATATTGTATAAATCAAGAAAACCGGTCCACAGTTAACAAAGTTGAATAGCATGTTCTTGAGAAAAATCTCTTGAAACAAATTTAGTAAAATTAAAAATTTTCAAAATATTTAGTTTATCAGGACCCATTAATAATGTATACTATAAACTTTGTGTTGATTAATCAATCAAAAAATGAAAACTAACTCCCAATCTTTTCATTTTAGTCAAAATTAATTTTTGAAAATTTTCATTTAATTCACCATGTTGAAGATCTAACAAAAATAGCTTTCAAAGTCGATCACTTATTCTTAACATAATGTGTAGACTATTGCACACCCAATGTTTAATTGAGATCATATTAAAAAGAGGGGTCGAATGTGTCTATTAAGTGTAAAGTAAGATTCCTTAATCTTTTTTATATCCTTAGAAATTATATTATACTCAATAGTATTAGTTAAATTTTCTTTGTTACAATGACACCACAGGCAAAAATATTTTGAATTTGCGATATTCATTCCTAAGCATATAGCTAGAAATTTTCAGTCTAAACTAAAGTATAATTCAACATTCCAATATTATTCTCCAATTTCATAAAATCTATGTTCACTTAAAAATTGCAAATCTGAAATTAAAGGAGCAAGTGCATTTTGAAGTATATAATAATTTTCTATACCAGAAAATAGAACTAATGTAATTTGGGTTTATGCAATTTATCCAAATTATTTAAAAGTACAACAGTTAATATGATGTGCTTTGCTTTTTGCTGACATTTTGGCCATCTCTGGATATACATAAGTATAAAGCAGAGCTAAATTTTAAAACCTTTTTTTGAATATACATTGGAATTATATAATTAAATATATTAGTAATTTATCAGTGCTCACCTTTTCTAATAGATGTGACAGCATTAGAAACTATGGTTGGATCAGTAATATCAGCCTCTTTAGTAATTGGCTCAAAAATAGTTGGTTGATCAATATCAACTAAACTATTAGGAATTTTTTTATTTACTTTATGTGTGATTTCTTGTCTTATAACATAAATTGCACCAGCTCAGATTAGTAATTCATCAATTCTAGCCAAAGATCTATATGCCTCTTGAGAAATTCGACCACGATCAATTGATTTTACAATAGCTTGGGTTTGTAGTTTGACTAATTGCTTATCAATCTTTCTATAATTAATATTATATATATAATTATTAATTTCAAATTTGGCCTGTTTAAGAACAATGCTATCATTTGAATGAAAAAAATTTTTCTTTTCTTCTTTTATAAATTCTTGTAACTGTTCTTTTAAACCTAATATGCATTTTCGTTGTGTTGATGCACTATAATTATCAAATAGCTTTATTTGTACAAACATATTAGATGGTAATGTTTTGCAAACAGCCTCTACACTTTTACACCGTAAGCCAAAAAGAAGTGGTCCAGAGAGCTTGCTGCTTTACATTAATATTTTCAGCCAATGCCTATATTTATTTATATAATATTAACATATAAAATATGATATTTATTTTAATATATATTTATTACTTTACTTTACAATATAAATGCATAGCATGAGAAGATAACTGATCTGACTCTACAGATTTTTCTAAATTCTTTCCAAAATGTATTTAATATAATAGTTTATCATCAACATAATATATCGAGCATTCAACAACATAATTTTTTTTGAATATATAGTTTGAACAATATAATAATGTGGTATAGGATGCTTTGCAGAACATTGAATATATTTAAGTTTATGTTTTGGTGGATATACACCTTCTTTAATAATATGATACTTAATTAGAGTTTTGTCTAACTATAAGAGAATTAATTATAAGAATTTAAGTCAATATCTATATAATTTTATTAGTAGTTAGAATCTGATTTTAACTATAAAATACTAATATTTTTACTAAGTAAACATCTTTTAAGCTTCTAATAAAAGTTGTAGAGACAGTTTTTCTAATTCTAATGGTAATAAAATCATCAAAATTAGTTTAATATTTCTTGAGATACAAGTATTTATCTCTTTGTGATCATATAAAATTCTATAAAATTTTTTAAAGAAATTTTATAGGATTTTATATGATTGCAAAAAGATAAATATTTGTATCCCAAGAAATATTAAACTAATTTTGGTGATTTTATAACTATTAGAATCAGAAAAACTGTCTCTACAACTTTTATTAGAA